TAAAAGGTATTTAAAACCTTCCTGAACAATTGCACGGATGGTTTATAGCTGAGTAATAATAAACTTTAAGGAACAGAAATTTCTATCTTATGCAAATAATTAAGTATCTCTGATAAAAGTCATTTCTAAAATAGAAAAACAGGGAAAACTTACCAATTATATTGAAGCTAATATAATATGTGACAGCTATTGATTAACCTACTCTAGTCAGATTTTCTGTTACGTATATGTAACTAATAGAGGACGCTATAAAATTTTAGAGTAGATCAGAAAAAAGATTTGAATTAAACGATGTATTCCATGAACTTGGATTAAAAGATTCAATGTGATAAAAATGCCAGTTCTCTGAAGATTTACTAGTTTAATGTAATTACAATAAAAATGCAAAGAATATTTTTCAAGGGAATTAATAAAGTGATTCAAATGTTTCGTTGAATAAGTTGAAACGTAAAGGAATTTTTGAAGAGAAGAGTTAGATGATTTGTTTCATCAATGTTAGCATATATTCTAACAGTGTTGTACTGGAAAAAAATGAGAAAATGGAACAAAACATGAAGGCCAAAAGCAGTCTAGAGTGTAAAGGCACAAATCCTACAGAGAATAATGTTGGCCTTCCAACCAGAGGGAAATGGGTAAATGAGCATTTAATAAAAACATTAGCTAACCTGTCAACTATTTGGGAAAATTAAACTATGGACCTGTCTTACATTATACCACAAATTCTACTACATGCTTGATACCATTCATTCACTAAATATTTAACCACTAACTATATGCTAAGAACTATGCAAAGACTGAGGATACAACAATGACCAAAAACACAGGAGCTTAGAGTCTAGTAGGAAGATATATAACAGGCCCAAAGCAGGACTGATTGAGATAATGTCAGTCTAATGTGTTTTGCCCAAGTATTGCAACACATATTTTTGCTTAAAATAAAGTAATTAAAAGAACCTTGTAATATGAGACTTTGTAAACACTCCAATACATCATGACCTTCCACAATCACTCCAGGTTTTGTGCATAATCCTGTGAAAAATACTTAGTGCTATACGGTACTTAGACATGTATGTTAATAGCATAAGGAAATTTGAGACTGTGGTAATGACAGTGTACAAGATACAAATGCCATTGAAGAGTGCCACACAGTTGATACTCAGTGGCAATCTCCTGAAGGAATGAATATATTAATATTAAATATAAAACAAAAGAGGATAAAAGAATCACAAGTAGAATGATGTGATATTTGCCTGCTTGTCAGATGGAGACAAACTTCCAATTCTTAAAAACCAAAATTAAAACAAAGGTACCAATTCGTTTACTCAGGCTAAAAATAAATCAGCCATGTTACATAGAATGGGTCCAGACCATGCAGCTGTCTACACTAGGATCAGCAAATTTTTCTGTGAAGGGCCAGAGAGCATATAATTTAGGTTTTGCAGGCCATACAGTCTCTGTTGCAACTATCTTTACTGTTGTAGCATGAAATCAGCCACAAACAATAAATAAAGAGATGGCATGTGTGTTTGAATAACACTTCACAAGAAGTAGGCTAGAGATTGGGACAACGTGTCATAGTTTGCCAACCCCTGGTCTAGATCATGTAGTTGTCCACATAATGGTTCACACTTAAAACAGTATTTATGGAGCTTTGAGTCCTTGGCTCAATTCAGAAAATGAAGGATATAGCCTTCCATATATTATTTCTGCTTTTTAGGCTCTTTAGCTTCCATAAAAGAATGTAGACTCTTCTCCCAGCTCCATTATTTACCAAAGACTAGGGGCCATACTCATCTGGCAACATGAAAGAGCTCTATTATTATCATAGCTTTTGCCAGGGCATTCTGCCTGATCTCACTGCCTCCAATATTTGTTAAAGTTGGGTCAAGAGTTAAAACATTCAAGGGAGAGTTCTTAAAGAACAAGTTGTCTATCCACTGTTCTAGATAACCTACATTCTTCAACCAAATCAGAGCTGCAGAGAAATGGGTCCCTAGATTATATTAATACCTCTTCTTCCCACTCAGCCACTTCCTGCAGGACTTTTCTTTTTCTTCCTTACTCTTTGGTTTGAAGATATCAGTTAATTTAGAAAGTCTTTATAAGAAATAGGGAGGTTGTACATAATGACAGTATTTGTCTTCCACACTGGAGGATACTCTCCTAAAACAATGAAGAGTAAACTGCTGGGAGATGTATTCATCACTGTTTCTGTTTTACATGTTGGGGTTCTGAGTGGTAAATGTGGAAGAACAGTTTATGTGGTTATCTACATCTGCCCCCTCAGGATCTGTGCTTGGCCCCTCTCTGGCAGCACCTGGCCTCAGGGGGCTGACCTCCTCAGATGCTGAGACTGCCTCTCCCAGGCTCCCTTGCCTGGGTTTGGCTGGAAGAAACATTAGCAGAAGGAAAGCAGGGTTGGAGTGTTTATCGCCCTTGCCCCCAGGATGCAGTTTTTAGCAGTGGCTGCACCTTATTAACGTTGCAGATATTGAACAGCCCTCCTTTAGAATGGGAATCTCTCTCTCTCTTTACCTATTAAGCCAAAAGATGGTAACAGCTTCCTGCTGTTGCCAATCCCTGTGCACTTCACCACCCCTCGTTATTTCTATTAACTCTGTTCAAAGTCCGTACATTATACTCTCTTCAATTACACCCTTTGGGTAAATCATCTGATGCTTATTAAGAATCTATTTCAGGAAAAGAAAGAAAAAGAGCCTTTTTAGAAAATCACTGCCTTAGAGGAAAGCTTATCATCAGGTACCAAAAATTCTGTAAAATTGAAAAAAATACAACTGGAACTTATCGCAGAACTGCACATGTAAGTTATAGCTTAAAATGAGATATGTTGTAAGCTGCCACTCTGACAAATAAGCATTTAAATCAATGATTGTGCAACAAGGTCTGCTTAAATTCTACCTTGCAATTCAATGAGACTCAAGACAATTTGTTATTAAAAAGCTGTCATTTGGAAATTGATTATTCTTAATATATTATTCAAACAAAAATATATAGGTAATAATGAAATGGACAAGCACAGAGAAATATCTTGCAGATCAGCGGCATACCTCCTTGAATTTGTGGCTGAGCCTGGCGGTGTCCAGGTCTGAGGGGGAAAACATATCCTCACTCTCAGGCAGCTCAAAGACTTCAATGGCCATGTCACTGGCAGGAAGAGCAGCAGCTCCTGCCTCTTCCTCCTCTTCATCTGTGGCATATTCTCCTGTCTGAAAGGGAGGGGATTTCAGAAATCCAGCTGTCCTTACCACAGGTGGAGGTAGGTTATTTGAAAATATTTTATAAAAGAGAAATAAAACATGTCGCCAAATGGTAAAAATGTAAGTAGACTTTAAAGTCAAGCATGCCTCATGCAGCCGATGTTATAAACAAATGTTAGTTCAAAGATCCAGAGTGACGAATCTATGCAATATACAAGTGCATTTCTAAAAACCTAACAGTATCAGTAGCATTTTTAGTATAGCAATAAGAGTGTTTTTTTTTATCCAATCTATGAGATAGTTTTACTAAATAAAATTATGTTGCTAAGGGAAATAAGTAATTTCTTTAAATTCCCACCTGCTGTGTGAATAAGCCACTCACTACCTGGAGCAAGAAAGAGGGAAGAGGAGTCCAAAGATTCTTAGAGTTGGGAAGGCCCTTAATTAAGTCTTGAAAAGGTTTAGCAGATTAATTCTCCTAAGCTTGAGAGTTCAATCAGTTCTGTCTTGTTTGTTTGTTAATTATTGTGGTGGTTAACTAGTGAGCTAAACGATAAACCAAAGGTTTCTAACTCACAGCCTGCATATGTGTATTGTTTTGCCTGCCTAATACTTCTATACATCTGAGTATTTTGCCTATGTGAAAAACAAAAAGATTTCACATAAAGTTCTTTCTTGAGAAAGACAAAGATCTGTCAATATAGGCACATTGTGACATAATAAAAACTGGCCAGAGTTAGTAGTGGTTGCTCCTCGTAGATGGGTCATACACTTTCTAATACGCCATAACTCCCCTAACTTTATATTGTTCTACACTGTTAGCACCACTGCTTTATAATATCCACAGTCCCCTGTAGGTATTTGAGTTCATGACCCCTGGAATAAATGTTCCTCTTTGCCACTAACTTCTTTAACATTATTAGAAAGTATCTCCTCTCCTGGCAGCATCAGCTATGAGACTATAATTCAAAATAATTGTTTGAAATCTATACCTTATAATTTAAAAATAAATCACTGATTCACAGGGTTAAAAAGACAAAGTTCATTTAATTCATCCCAGATCCTTCAGGTAGTACTTTATTTAACACATAAAACACAGGTAGGAATTCATATAGCTTTTAAAAAAACTTTCATAAACAGTTTACTGAATGATCTATTCCTTTGATTAAATAGGCTCAGCATCTGACTGCTGTTTTTTCTTTTGGTTCTGTACTATATTTTTCTTGCTAAAATTGAAACCCTTTATTATTTTAGTTTTTTTACTATGTTTGCACATGAAGGAAATCTGCTCATTAACCCCAATGTAATCATTCCCAATGTCTGGAAGACCACTGTTAAATTGACTTCAGACTTCTCTTTTTCAAATAAAATAATTTTAGTCACCTCAACAGGTCTGCATTGCATTGTCTGTAATTGTCTTTGTGGTTGTACTCTGACTTCTTCAAGTTTTTCACGTTTCCTTAAGTTGTAGAGCCTGGAAGTAGACACAACTTCTAATAGGAAATCTGAAGGCCATTGACCATGATGAACAAACACACTGCCTCAGTGTCCTCCAGACTCTGCTTCCCACACAGAACTCATTATCATGGAGACCTTGACTTTGGTCACATTCGTGTATACAAGCAAGCTCAGAATATTTCATACAGAGCAGTGATTTTCCAAACTAGTTACAGGTTAGTTAAAATCCCTCCCCCCACCAATAAAATCAGAGATGCTCTGGCTGAAAGGAAAAGAGGTTGGTGGCCTCCTTCTTGATCCTATATATCTTCTCAGTACCTGAAACTCTAGGACTCTTTAGAAATCAGTCTGAAAATGTCTCAACTACAAGTACCACTCCAATGTCTTTGGCATTGACAAGGGAAAGGTATTAATAGCTTAAGAATGACAGCCGGTTGGTTCAGATAGCTTCTGTATATTAGTACAATGAGGTCCTAAAATCTTAAAAGGACTCTAATTCTAGGTTTGGTATGATTTTTGCAGTATTCTGTAAATTAATCCAGCTATTTATGTATACTTTTAGAACCAATAGGTACTTCGTAAATCCCAATGATGTTAATTAATAGGAATGGAGCAAGGCTGGTAAATAAATAATCTCAACTTGTTGAAAGTTTTCATGTAGAAGTATAAAACTGTGCACTTGTTTTCAACCCTATAATTACAAAGCCAAGCCTTTATTATGAATGCTTAAACCAGGTATATAAAATTCAGTTCTATATAATCAATTTGAAGAATAGCATTGAATGACTCAAGAAATCTTAAGCTAAATTTAAAGTCTGACTAAACTACAATAATGTGGCACATTTTAAATATGAGTTGAAATGAACAATTTGATTTCCCTTTGCCAGCTTGAAAATAAATACTTGTTCATTATATGTGAGAGAATATAAATGTGTGCCTAAGGATGAGGCCTGACATATAACAGGACCTCAACAAATACTTTAAAGAGAATAAATTCAAGAATGCCAATTGTATTTACTTGGTAATATCCAGAACTTCCCAAGGAGGTTTTCAACAATATGAAGAAAACGAACTACAGTCACTTGTTAAGAAGGCAGTATTCTGTCACACATATTTTTAATAACCTTACAGTGAATAACAGAATTAGAGAATATATAACATATGTAATTCTTACCTCCAAGTATAGTTCTGGCTCTGTCATCCATATACACTTTAATTATCAAAATTATCTTCATAAATGTAAGTTATTAAGAATTCTCCTTCTTGATTCTTTTGTAGAGTTAGCTAGTCTCCTCTCCTTCACAATACCCAAATTGCCTGCAATCCTGCTAAAATTCTTATCATTCATCTTTCCATTTATTAATGTTTTCTCTCCAATTAGCCTTAGAAGCATCCTGAGGGCAAACACATCTTTTATTGTCTTGCTTCTACTTATTATTTAGTATAAACTATGGATAGGGTGCTGAAAAACTATGTTGTCATCCTCTCTTGATGATCATCTACCATTTCTCACCCTGAATAGGCTTTAGGATGCATTTATTACAGAATCTCATAAACATCTGGAAATAAAAAAGTTATACTTAGTGGACTAAGAATAATAGCTTCTTCTGATTCTTTCATTTTTACTGGAAATGGAAATTATTTTTATGGTTACACTGCAAGTAAAATAAATAACATGCGATTTGTTAGTATAATACAATGTTGTAGACCTCAAAACTAGATGGGATTGAATCTGCCATTTGCAAAGGAAAATGGACAATGTTGTGCACTCCCCAATGCTACAATGAAGTATTTTCATTGGTGTCCAACTCTTCTTCTGTTTCTGGCCAAATTCAAAATCTTTCAAGTAACAAGAGACTCTTGAAATTCTTTGTCCCAACCCACAAATCCACTTCAAATGTGGAAGGAACACTTCTTAGCGTAAAATATGACAGAAATAGTAAATGTTCCTTTTCATGTCCTTGTCTACTTTCTTGATTAATATCATGTACGTTTTAATAGCCCCATAAAAAGGGGGAGGGAGAGTGAAGAACAATCCCTTTGCAACTTACTGTGTGCATAGCATCGCACATTGCTCAAGAACTACGTGATATGGGTGTACCGTACTACCTATCTTAATTTCGAGGAAACTGAGACTTGAGATTTTACTTAAGGTCTGACAATTAGTTAAGTTGTTGAAGCTGCATCTAGCATATTCCAAAGCCTATGCTCTTTCTTCTATGCTATGCTGCTTTCAGTCTACAGAAACTAAAGCTTTGCAGAAAAAAAAAAGAATCAGGAATACATTTCTTTAATATTTCGCCAAACCAAAACCCTGGTGCATAATCTGTTGGGTTGAGTTGCACCTTCTATAACTGTGAACATTATCATTCAATTAACTATGAAGATTTCCACCTGTGTCTACTGAGCTCCAAAGTTCTTGTCCTTTTCTCTTCTTCTGTGCACTTGGACAAGTGCACAGAAGTCCCCTTTGAAAAGATGGGAAACAGCAGTTGGTGGGTTAATGTAATATAGAGAGGAATCATTGAAAAATAAACTAATACCTAGGCACACACACACCATTTTATGGTAACTAAAATCATAGAAGTATTAATTTATTTGCCTAACTTTTAATTGCATGGCCAACTCTTCCTGTTGACTTACGAATCTGCTTACTGATGTTTCATGCACTGTTACATAAACCACAACCATAACATTAGTCTGTAAAATTATTGCAGTATCTTTACAATGGATGAAAATAAATGCTCGCAAGGCAAAATGGGCACAAAATTCCCCTAGATTTTTATGGTTTCCTCCTATCTTTTACCTTCTCACACCTAATTTCTTGAGCTACCAGTCTTTATTCCATCTTCCCAAAGCATTACATCTAGTAACTTCCTTTACACACGTATTACATCAGAGCACTTAACATTTTATTAAATAACAGAAATTACAATAGCAAGCACAGCCAAGAGGTTTTGCCTCTTGGTAAGCATACAACTTTTGACTAGTGGGAGAAGTATGTCAACATACTAGAGTCCGGAACACTCATGAGAGTTGTACATCTCAGTCTAGGTTTTAAAGAAGGAACAGAGAGTATCTTTTATTGGGAAAGTTAGCTTCTATATTGAAGCTTCAATTTCTTTATCTATAAAGTGAAACACAAATAGTTCCTTAGCATAACAAGGTTGTCAAGAGATTAAGTTAAAATGCTACTTGTGTATTTAACACAAGGTCTGGCACATGGTAGGTGCTCACAATAAGTGACTGCTGTTGTTACTACTGCAGGTACAAATACTGTAATTGTAACATGTTAAAGCCTCTCCAATCTTTATCTTGTACCCAAGCCCAAGGAAACTTCCACACCTCTGCTCTCCCTGCTTACTGGCCTCCACCTACCCCAGTGATCCAAGATGAATATCCATCTACATTAGAATATCTTGTGATGCTGCTACCCTTAAGACTTTCCTAATCTACTCCTTTACGCTCTTACTATATGCATTACGTCACTCATAACACTTTGATGTTTTTACATCTGCCTTCTCCCATCAACTTCTTTCATCTGAAAGTTC